GGCGTACCGTTCCCTCTGCGACTCGGGTGGTTCGAGCAGCAGAGTGGCTGCCCAGTTGGAGAGAGCGGAGAATTGGGCAGCACAGGCGGCGACTCCGGGGGCCTTTGTCTCCACCAGGGATCGAATGTCGAGCAGTTCATCCAACTGTTGTGCGACAAGAGCAAGAAGATTCATTTTCAAATGGACTCGTGAAGCTCCTAATCCAGTAGCTTTAACTTTGCTAGTAAATCTTGAAGTAAAGCCGTCGGCAAGAACTAACATCATGGTAAATAGTATGCATGCGTGCAAGACTTACGTACAAGGAGCAAATATTTCGGTCTTAGAAATATGAAAATTTCCGCATATTTTTATCAGCTGCATTTTCAATTATTTGAAAGGTTAAAAAGGAGGTAATAGACAGTTCCTCTAACATTTACTGGTATAATCAGATATGCGTCTACATAGAGATCTACCGGCAATCATATTAAATGTCCGCAAATGTGACCTATGCTGCAAGGTATAGACAGTATTGACAAACAGGCTTGTGGTGTACACGAATGATTATGCAAGTGTACAAAACGACTACCTCAATAATCACTTTTGAGGAATCCAGAAATTATACTTTGTGGTCATAACTTATGACGAAAGGCCATATAAAAGGAAACTAAGAGATGAAAGCATTGCGAATCTTTTTAAAAACTTATGATAACTTTCATGCAAGCACCAATTATTTTTGGGAAAAATGCATGCTTATGAAGTAGCGACTTCACTCACGTGCAGTTTACAGGGGGCAGATGGAAATATACCCAGTCAATTTGAGCTAACCTAGAGGATTTTTTCCCATTCAAAAGCTTACTGATCTCTATCAGTTTATATGAATGATGACATGACTGAATTTTGAGCTGGCATTTCAAACTAAAAAAGCATATCTGCATGACGTTTACTAGCACACTCAAGTAATGCTAGGCTATTGCGAAGAAACCTCTATTGAAATTTTTTTAAAAATTTGTCCGAGCTTTTAGTTTTCCAAGTTATTTTGAATTCCACGAAGTCACCGCAGCAAGTCAATATGGCAAAAATATCAGAAGTCCACAGGAGCGCGATATCCTAACCATCTGCATTTATATCATTGACAAATTACTATAGAACAGAAGAATAAGCACTGACGGTGACCGCATGAATCTGTGAACAGTTTAACAGCCCTGATGCTGTTGTCTTTTCCCTCCAATTGACTCGAATCCCACCAGCATGTGAAATCAGAGATGACCTAGCGTGTAAGAGCTATTGACTGTACTACAGCGCAAAGAAGGAAGACCTGCGATCAGGAGCTTAAATACTTCAAGCACTAGTGACAAGGGGTTTTAGCCAATGGCTCAGCGGTAAGGTGCCAACCCCTGGGCTAAACTTCAGGCCTTCCCACGGAGGACTGAATTGAAGTATGGTTGGCTGATGAGAGCAAATTAATCGGAAACGGTCTGCGCACCGTGAGGTGTTTGTACTTCTCAGCCTCCAGG